TTTGCACAAATATAATAAAATATGATGTTTTATTGATTTACATTTTGCAAAGCCTTCTTGCATTCTCATCGGGAGAGACCGAGAATGGCGAATCGCCGAACCTGGATTCTTCGATGTATCCAAGATGTTTCATTTCATTTTGATTTTATTATGCATCGGCTGCCTAAATAGAACACAAATAACCGATACTGTGATGATTTATATTTAAAAAAGTCTGCTATGCAAAATACGAACTAAGGGACTTGGCTGACGTCGAAAATGAAATCTTCATTATTTTTCTAATTTATTGATCTTTTCTGCTTCTAAATAATTAAGAAATGTTTATATGTCTGCCAGTATTTTAATGAAACGTTGTAGTTGATATAAGAACCAGAAATATTAGACACCTATTCCAGCGTTCTTACCAAATAGGCCCTAAGATGCAGAGAAAAAAAAAATATTTGCACTAAATGAACATATTTTTCTTAATTTTCTGCCTTCGTTGTGCTTGTATTTCAAGTTTATTATATATGAGTTGATTTCTTATTTTACCTTGTATAGGAAAATAATAAGCAGGATTGTATTAAATGAGATTAATATAGTTCCAAAAATAGTTCACAAAATAGTTCCAAAAACACAACACACTTTTTCTCCTAATTTATGTCAAAACGTTTATATATGTATAATATTAATATAAAATAGAAAATTTTCAAATTTCTTTTCTCCGGTAGGTAGTTTGGGGATGAGGCCAGGAAGACAGAAACAGTTATTTTCTTGTCGAGCTTTCGGCAGAATATATTGCCTTCATCAGGACTCTGTATTAACAAATTATCATAAGTAAATTTTCAAATATACAATTTTTAAAATTTTTCTTAATTAATAATTCGAAAAAAATCGTTATACTATATGAACAGGTACATGTGTGGATAACGGAGAGCCGGTAGAACCCACCCACCTTCGATAAACGAAGGTAATAAATATTCCTAAACGCGACAGTATTGCCAACTGGCTCAATATTCAATCTATAAAATTCCCTAACATTTTGGTATCAAATATCACAAATTATAAATTAAAAAGAAACCATAAATTAATTTGAAACAATCCTAAAATAAATTAATTATCACGTATAAACGATCAGGTACATATTGTAATATTAAAGCTATTGGTTAAGGATAGAACTATAAATCTATAAATTACACTTAAGTTTGATATATCTGTTCTAAGGTTACACGAATTAACATATTTATGAATGTATAGCGTCTCCTTAATCAATCTTCTATCTAAAAATTGTTCTTTATCCATAACAGAAACATTATTGAAATCAAACGTGTGGTTATATTTTTGACTGAGTTGGGAAAGCGCAGTCCCTTGCTTATCTACATCTCTAACGTCGTAGGCGTGCTGTCTACATCTGTTTTCCAATAATTGTTTGGTTTGACCATAATACACAGCACTACATTCGTTACAAAACTACACAGTTGTGTTGGCACTTTTGACTTCAATTTTGAAAAAAATTAGATTTCCCATATTGTTCTTGTATTTTAAGGCTATCACAGTCGGTATATCACAGTTTGCAGTTCTATTTCTGACCATGGCAGAGAGCTTGTGAGTAATGCCCTTCACATATGTAATACCTCTGTATAATTTAACGGTATTGTTAACAGGTACTACAGTTTCATTACTTTCATTCTTATATGTTAAAATTCTATCATAAATTAATGTATTTACAAGAGAGGTAGGATATTGATTTTTAACTAAAATATCTTTTACTTATGCTTTACATTCACAGTGGAATTGAGGGGAGCTATGTTTACAAATTCTATCTGTTAGTTGTATATCACATTTATTTTCAATTTCAAATAGTGGAGGGAGTTATAATTTAGGATCCTGTCTGATGATGATGGTTTTTTATACAATTTTGTAAGTATAGTGTTACTATCCCTGAGTAACAAAACATCAGGGTATGGTAATTTTCACCACATTCCGTTTCACACGTGAAGTCCAAGATGGTAAGCATTAAACTGGTCCACAACGAGCGATATATATAAGGCGATATATTCTGTCGAAAGCTCGACAAGAAAATAAATGTTGTTTCTGTCTTCCTGGCCTCATCCCCAATCTACCTTTTGCAAAGAAAAATATTTAAACTGAAAAGGCTGATCAATCAGCAAACAATTTTTTTAGCTTTTTAGCTGTATTACCCGATGGCATTTTTTTTTCTTCTAGCATATGTCAAGTGTTGGTATTTGCTACAAATTCGATGGTTTGTAACCGTTGGATACCTGAATATCTATTATTTTATTCTGCGATAACAACATTTAGATTTTATGTGTAGTTATGCGAGGAAAATAAGAATGGAATCAACAAAAACTACTGAAACAGTTTATTTTTATGTTTCCAATTTTTATTTATTTTTGGAAGCCAAATCTGTTCCATTATGTGTTATTTATTGGATTCTACTGGGGTTTATAGTGTTGTAGGGTTCTAAACCTCTAAAACGTCACGGATAAATCGATTGAATTGTTTCAGTTACACAAGTTTGTGATTTTCGAAAAAATTGAAGACATCTAAAAGGCGAGAATCCATTTTCCCAAAAATATGTATTCAGGCGTTTTTTGGGGAGCTAAAAACGAGTGTTCTTTTGTTTCTTTGTAATGATGTACAAATTACTTGGCTACATCACGAATTATGTAAATTAAATGAACGGTATTAAAAAATCCACTCTTCACTTTGTTTTAAAAATTTATACCGCTGAAATTCTTTTTTCGTTCTGTCAGTAAATAATTTTACGGTAATGGTATATTTAGTTTTGAAAGGTATTATTTTTTTGATTATAAAAATTTTTAGGAAATCACAACTGAGTGTATATCGTTTTGTTTATGTCGATCAATACTTGGCTCTCGCCGTTTGATCTCTTGCACTTCCATCATGATTTTAAATACAATTGTAAACGCAAAACCAAAAAGGAAATTTGGTTTTTTAGAATAACAAAGAAAATTTGAGATATATTTTTACGTTTTCTTAAATTTGCAGAATTCAACAGGAAAACTTTTAAAAGTTATTTTTATGATATTTAGTGTTAAGTTTGAGTTTTAATTCATCCGTTGACATTGAAAACCCGTGAAATTTAACGGACCTTAAATTGATCCCTGAATTGTATTACTAATATCTTTTCAACTAGAATGATTTATTTACTGAAATTAAATCATGGAAAAACCTGGAACTTAGCGATAGTACACTAAATTGTAGTGCCAATTTCGATATAAAATTATTTAACATAATTTAATAGTACTGAATTTTTTCCCTTCTAACAGAAAAAACAAACTCTAGTTACTCTAGGACAGATGAAGACAATATTAATATGATTGTACAGACAAAGACAAACAGGGAACAGCTCTTTCTCAGCATTGTCACAAATTCAAACATAAATTTGATTTTGAGAAAGGAAAATATCCTCCCTCATACGTACTATCTTATACTGAGATCTTACGGATCGATTTTGTCGAGTCCGTCAGGGAACTGAATTCTCACCTTATGTACGCATTAGGGCGGATGTTCCTCAGGGAAGCATACTTGGCCCTTTTCTATTTTCTATATACACTGCAGATATTCCTACACATGTTAACATTTCGACACACACACTGATGATACAGCGATTATTACACGCAATTCGGACCCCAAATTAACACTCAATACTTACAAGAACACCTGAATGAATTAACACTATAGTTTACAAAGTGGAGAATAAAGATAAACCTAACAAAAAGCACACAGCTCAATTTTACCTTACGTAAAAATGTCTGTCCTGCGGTGAGTATAAATGGAATTCCATTGTATTCCACTGACTTTGTGCATTATCTTGGACTTTAAATATAGGCGTTAAATATAGCCGAAAGCTCGTCGGGAGAAAAATAAGTTGTTTTTTTCACCTACAAGGTTTCATACCAGATCCATTTCTTTCAATATCAATCAGGAAGGCCGATATTACACTCAACAATAAATATATTAACTTACGTCGCATTATCGTTTTTCCAAAATCGTATGAAGTACACATAAACAATAATAAAATCGGGTTTAAATAAAAAATATGAGAAAATTATGTGTATACAATATATTTTATTTTAAAGTTGTACAATTCAACATGAATACTTTAAACATCTGGGATGCTCGTCAATTTACCATTTATTGCATTTACCCGTGTTTCATAATCAACCTATGACTGCTTTCTGTGAACTTGCTTAAATAGAAGATCCACAAAATAAATCATAAGATATAAAACGATTTATATAATATAATATTAATATGCACAGCCGTTGGATTCTTAACCAAAATAAAATACGAAAAAATCATACAAAATTAAAACACAAATTGATTATATAAAAACTTATGAAAGTATTTATCAATACAATGTGGAATCTAAAGAAAAAAACAACACTTTTATCACAGAGCTATATGCATTTAGCGTATAGATTCACATTATTTCATATGCGTTGAATAAGTTAAAGTAGCTTCACTTCCGTGTATTGGAGCATGGATGTACACTTGTCTCTTTATAAAATTGTACTCAGATGGATTTTGTCCTGTTTAAGTGTGTCTGGTAATGTTTGGCCAAATGAGCTTTCTGCCTGAAGCATTTGGCGCAGTAGGAACGATTGAAGGGTTTCTCACCGGTGTGGGTTCTTATGTGGACGTTGACCGAGTATTTATCCTTAAACCCTTTGCTGCAGATGTGGTAATAGTGGAGAGACCTTCCCCTACGAGTGCCAGAAGTCGATTCTCCGTTTTTGGATCGTTTCGTGTACTTTTTTGTTGGTTTTGAGGTGAGGGTGAATATAGGGTCGACCGGAGCTAGAACTAGTAACGGGCTGACCTGTGAGCCAAATGGGTGGGATCCGTTCGGGCACTACTATTCTGGCGGTTCTGCTATGTCGGAAGTCAAGTCCACGAATCCTTGGATGTTCTGAGGGTACGAGATTTTTGATGGAGAGTCTTGGCATCTGGGGCGTGTGTCGTCGCGTTGTTCATTTCAAGGAGGTTTGGCGATTCCGCATTTTCAACATGTGCAACGAAATTGTTGGAGAAATTGGAAGGCNAGCCGTGTTGGTTCTGTAACTCGAGCTTTCTTGTGTTTCCTGCCTCTGCCACGTACTTGGATCTTCCGCTCCGTAGACCGAATAAGTGTAAACAGAATTTTCCGCAGCAGACCTCGGTTCGGTGATGACATCTTGTCTCCAATAGTCAATCTCTCCAAAAAACGTCCCTTCCACAGATTGCCACTCGTTCCCGTAATTGCAAATCTGTAGCGGCAGGTGGTTGTTGTTGGGTTCTTTCGTCTCCTGAACTCCAGAATCCATAAAGCTGGCCGACCTCAAACTTGAGTCTGTAGAACTGACGTCGAATAGATCCGTTGACTCTAAATCTTGGACCAGACAATCGTCGGCTAACATCGCTAATGTCGATGTAGAAAATCCTGCGTATTCGCTTCTGAAACATAAAAAGTAGGTTATCTTTAGTGGTCTTTTGACTAAATTACTTCTCTCAATTAATTAATCTTTTTATGTAAGATTTATGTTGAAATGAAACAAATACAATTAATGTTTTTCTCATTGTTTTGGGGTTTGAAAACATTGTATAAATGTTAAATTCGTAATTTTCTTCATAACAATTTTCTCAATTTTTCATGCAATACTTAAAAAAAAAGAAACATTAGCCATTACGTCAAAGGTGAAATTAATTGACAACAATCGTAAGTCGATAGTGAAGACGAATAGCCCAAATGTACAACACTTCACAATGAAGATCCGGGAAATATTTAAAAATTATTCAAGTCTAATAATTGAATGTTTCATTCTTTCCTCTTTTGCAAAATAAGTTTTTTCGACAAATTCTAAATTTAATAAAAAAATTGAAAACGGAAATGTCACTACGTTATGGAGAATTTCAAATTTAGCGTTTTATTTTTTAAAAGAGAAAAAAATGTAGATATTAAATAAAATTTTACAAACGTACCTCAACATATCTGTGATGGAAAATTGCAAAAATCTTCTTAATTGCAATATAGACGAGGAATGCTTAGTAGCTCTTGATTACTGGTGACTAGAAAAGAAAAAGACTAGACTGAAGGGTCTCATCCCCCGGGGGTGCTTTTATACGGGGCCGGTTTGGTTTTTCCCCTACCCTTCGTCATACAGCCCTCAAATCCCTTACAACCATTGGACAATGGCTTGGAGGAGATTTTTCCCCCTTGGTTGAGGAATGCCGGGGTTTCTCAAGGGTTCAATGGGGAGTTCCTGAAATATGTCCAGAATTTCCTAGCTTCGAGGGTGACTTTTTTAGGGGAAATGAAATAATTAAAAAAAATCTCCAAATGTGTGTTTTGAAAACGAAAGTTCATTGACCGTGTACCTAATGCAGAAAACATTTTCATCAAACTGAAACAAAAAAAAATCAATTAAGAATAATAACAATAAATATTATTAAAACGCATATTTTTAATTGAAATTAGCTATTTATTAAATTGAATTCACAAAACTGTAAGAAATATTGAAACAAATTTGAAGAAAAATAAGATGACTAACATAAATTTACAGTCGTATCCGAACCTTGATCAGTGCGGACGGTATTTGTACTCGGCAGGATTACCACTGTTTACTACGGGACCGATAAGTAGCCAAGCTACACGTTTTCAAGTTTATATTTAAATTTAATTCCTCCTCTTTCAATTTAGTCTAATCTAACAATACATTATAACTTCGATCTGTAATAACCATAGTCACTTATAAGGTGTAAAGGAGATAGAATAGTAGGGGCCGTTCTCTGGCCCCTCCGACAAAATAGACGGCAATAATTAAAAAAAAATGAAAACTGAAGCCTCAATATCTCAGCAAATTGCAGATATAACAGGAAACATAAACACACAACAAAAAAACACAACACCATTATCATGACTACATCGTACCCTAATTATAACTCAAATTCCAAAACCATGAATATCGAAAAATCCCACGCAAAAATAATAATAAAAGATAAATCGGAAATATTGAACGAAAAAGAAAAGAAAAAAAATTAAAACCGGACTGGCGCATAATCAGTTAAACGATTATCAGGACGAGTATCAGGGTCCTTATTTTGTTTTGGTAGAAAGCTTAGAAAAAAATTGGAAAACGCGCACCCATATTATTTCGGAAATGGTTGTTTCAAGATGAAAAAATAATCCGGAACGATGTCCTCCAAATAAGAGTAGCAGGTAAGAATTGAATCAAAATCATTACTGCGGACTATGAAACGGCAAATTACCTCACGGAAAGCGATAATCTGAGAAAAGGGAAATTGTTTACATACATTTCAGAATTTCGCACAAAAAAAGTAGGACGTTGATTTAAGCACGGCAGAAATCCTACAAAACATCCAGAGTACCATTGAACCCTATCAGTTGAAAGAATGTACCGATATATGCATGAAAATGACAAGGTGAAAGTAATAGCACTATCAACATGCTTAATAACATTTCAAGGCCAAAAAATTCCCGAATATGTCACAATATATGGGGGCTACTGCCCCTTACGTCCACCCCCTGTTAGACAGAGCCCAAAGTGCCTACGTTTTTTCTTCTCATGAACGCAGGAAAACAACAATGCCCTAAATGTGGTGAGGTGCATTCCCTAAAATATTGTAACAAAACTAACGTAGACCCAACCTACATTCATTGTGCAAACAAACACCTATCCGATAGTAGAGATTGTGAAATATTTAAAAAACTGAATAGTGAAAATCAAAAAAAGCACGCTCAAGTAACATACGCGTCAGTCGTGACAAGTAACAGATATAACGTATTAGACTTACTACAGGAGGATAGGTTCAAAGTTTACATTGGTTATATAGTTTTTAGTTTGGTTTTAATTTTTGAGTATAAAATTTAAGGGTAGTCAAGAAAAAAATTAATATCAATGGAGTCCCCAGAATTTAAATAATTGTTTTGCCATGCCAATGGGACTTTTATGTAATATTTATTAATTATATTTATTATTACTTTAAAAGTTAGTGTTGATGCCACTTCTCACAAAAAAATTAAAACTCGACAAGACAAAGACCACAGTTTTTGTAATTTCTTAGTGTTTCAATTTATTCTTTATCTTATAATTTTATTATAATTTGTAAGAACAACGAAAAGCAAGGACTAGATTTTAACGTTTTTTCCATTTCAGGACAGTTTTCATTTATGTATTTTTTTCAAAACAAACCTAAACCTCAAACAAAAAATTTTAAACCTTGTTAATTAGTAATTAGTATATACATACATGTTGATTTTAGTAAAATTTATAAAAAAATATAAGAAGCGCAGACTAGATTTTTACATTACCACTTCAATGAAGTTAGAACTGCAGATTATTTAACCCACAGGCGACAGGAGATTTCATGATTAAGACAGAAAAGTGTGAAAATTATACGAAAGGAAATTTTCCAGGTTTTCAAAAAAATTTTTTAGATAGAAAGCATAATTTTATGAATTTCTATGAAATAGAAAATTGTAGAAAAAGTAGATTTCCCTTCTGAATCATCCACAACCCTTGTTTTAAACATACATTTTACAATAACAAGGGAATAAAACAGGGTCAAAGTCGAGAAAAACAATGTTATCTGAAAAGGTGGAACATAAGATAAGTCCGTAAGCAGATTAAGTGTCCGATAGAAAAAAATATTTTGATTTAAGACGTTTAGATTAGTACATATCTAAAGCACTGGACAATAGAATTTTTATCATAAACACTTCTCATTTTTAAACATAATTTTGATTTAGTGGTTTGCGAAAAGAAGATGGCATATGTAGGTTTTTAAAAATGTAAACAATTTTAATAAATCAGAAATGTTTAATAAAAAAATTAGCACGATGGAATTCACAATTGGTGGCTATGGACGTGGAATCTTCGACTTTTCGCATTCCAAATATCTCAAATGTCACGAAGGAATGGTTGTACCTATGAAACTATACCATTGATCTAGATACTTTGCATATTTTTAGAACGACCTACACTCAGTGATATGCCTGTCCTCTTATAAAATCATAATATCATTTAGAGTTTATTCAATTTTCACGATATCACAACGGTTGGAAAGCTGCATTTCTAATCATTGATTCCTTACCAACAATATATAGGTATTTATGTTATTATAAGTGAGAAAAATTTGGACGAAATCGACAAAACAACATCTAAACATTATATTTTATATTCCGTTTTCTGATTAATTTACGGAGGTCAGATTTATGGCCTTACTTGTTGAGTATAGGAATGTTTCCTAGGCATCAATCTAGTCCTTTCAAAGTTATCTTGTTTGTTTTATGTTTTTCGAAAAAATTGCAATTTTTTGGAAGGGGGTAAATTTTGAATTTGTACGGAAAAAGACAGACTACTTATGAGAGTTGACTAGACTGAAACGTGGTGATTGTTACAATTGAAAATAATATAAAATCCATAGCTGTATTGACTGTATATAATTGACCGTATTGATTATTTTAATTAATTATAATTTTAATTTATGGTTTTTTTCTTATAAGAAATAACAAGTTTCATTCATAATTCGCTCAACAACGAGCAAACTTAACATTTAAAAACAATAATACTGTAAAAATTCTATTTTTGCATTAGATTTTTCGATCCATACCAATATTATTTCTACCCTTCCGTGTTTACAAGAAGTAAAAATTATAAATTGAATTGAAATAACTTTAAATATTTTTAAGTTTTAGCAAAAGATTGAAATAAATGTAAAAGTAAAAAGTGTGAATTTATACAATGCTAGATATTTTACACTCAAACATAGTATTTGTATGGTGATTAGTGACCGTTAGTCGATAATTATGCAGAAATCGTGAGATGCGGTCGTGTGTGATGTAGGTTTCAGAAAAACATTTTTCCAACGTTTCGATCTTTATTGAGATCATCTTCAGGGCCTGGGATTTACAAACATTGTTTACATATAACAATTACATTTTGGATGTGGAAAAGTGAATTTATACAATGCAAAATATATTTTTTATATTCAATCAAAGTATTTATACTCACTCAAAGTGTTTGTCTTCTGTGTAATTGTGCCATTCTTGCGTGTCTTGCCGAGAGTGCGTTTTTTCGTGCGTGTGTTTTTCTGAAACCTACATCACACCAGACCGCATCTCACGATTTCTAAATAAATAACGATTAACGGTCACTAATCACCACACATTTACCAACATATGTAAAACTGCCATGAAATTTAATTGTTAAAGTCTGGTCAGGGACTAATATATTTTTACAAGTTGTTCTAACATTAATCTTGTAATTATTATTAAAAAAATCTTTTCGAAATTTTATACCTTCTCTGTTTGCAATTTTTGGCTATTTTCACAAAAATACATAAATGATGAAATTGAAAAAACGTTAAAATCTAGTCCTTGCTTCTCATTTTTTCTACAAATTATAATGAAATTATCAGGTAAAGAATAAATTGAAAAAACTTACAAATCACAAAAGCTCTGATCTTTGCTTTTTCGAGTTTTATGTTTTTAGTGCGAAGTGGTAATAACACTAACTTTTAAAGTAATAATAAACAAAATTAATAAATATTACATAAAAGTCCCATTGGCATGGCAAAACATAATTATTTAAATTCTGAGGACGCCAATGACTATCTTTTTCTTAATTATTCTTAATTGTTCTAAAATTAATCTTGTAATTATTATTAAAAATCTTTTAGAGGATACATGTATGTGACCAATTCGGAAATTGTAAAAACGTTAAAATCTAAGCCTTGCTTTTCTTTTCCCTACAAATTAAAATGAATTATCAGATAAAGAATAAATTGAAACACTAACAAATCACCCTGGGGACGACATTGACAATAATTTTTTCTTAACTATACTTCAATTCTTTACTCAAAATTAAAAGTAAACTAAAAACTATATAAATAATGTAACTAAAAAATATATATTACATCATTTTTTTAAGCTAAAATTTGAAAATAATATAATCGTATCAGGTGAAATTAGTCGTGTTTTTCACCCAAAAACCCTTGAATATACTTTTTGGACATCATCATAATATTTTGCTCGAATTTTTGAAATATCTCGGATTTTTTTTTTTCAAAAATCGCAAGAATAGTGATAACTTTAAACAACTCCACTGATCTACAGGAAACTTTTCTTGAAGAAAGATCTTACAAGAGTAGGGATAAAAGTGGTGGCCACAATCTGTTCTGCACCTCGACCTGAGTAGATCTATTGTGCTTCTCTATTTCTTATAACTCAGTGCCCAGGTTGTAAATCTATCTCCATAGCCTCGAGTTCTAACGAAGCAGAGATTCATCTCAAGTCCTTAATTAATTAAATTCACTAATTTCGTGGTCCGCTTGACCAATTAAATCATTACAATTAATTAAGGTTTTTAGTTGAGATGAAAAAATGGCAAAAAGGAGGGAAAACTCATAAGGTGGGGTTGAGATGGGAAGTTAGTATCCGAGCGGATCGAGAGCTCAAGTGGTAGAGCAGCGGCGTATCTAGCCGAAGATCGTGGGTTCGAATCCCGCTCGTGCCATTAGCTTTTTTTCATCTCAACTAAAAACCTTAATTAATTGTAACGTTTATTAATTTATAATTTTTACTTCTTGCAAACACGGAAGGGTAGAAATAATATTGGTATGGATTGAAAAATCTGATCCAAAAATCCAATTATTGCAGTATTATTTTTTAAAACGTTTAATTTCCTCGTTATTGGATGAATTAAGAATGAAACTTGTTATTTTATTATAAAAATATACTGGTAAATATCAATAAAAATGCAATTAATGCATAGAAATTTTTTTAATTGGTGTAGAATTGAAATTACGAGACCTCCTAGGAGGCCTCTGGCCTCTCCCTGATAGATCAGGGGGAGTCACCCAACTTGGTGCCTGAGCGACTCCGAGGTTGGAATCTGGTGGGGCGCCATCGACTTCTTTCGTCATTTCGGCACCCTTACGTTCCCTAAAACTAGTCATTTTCACACTCACTCATACAATAAATACATACATACTCCTATATACAAACTCAATCACACAAGCATATCCTCTGTCTAGAATCCGGGTCAGTGAGTACTCGATATTCCGCCCCGACCCGGCTTGGCGGAGCAGCGGTGGAGCCTCGAAATGATATGCTGCATCGCCGCCCAGCATACTCCTGTTCTAACACAAACTAAATCTAAACTTTAACCTATGAAATAAATACCCCACTATATACAACCCATTATCCCAATATCTCTCAAAAACCTAAAAAGTTTTTCTTTAAACTCGCTGAGATGCTCGAGCATTCTCCTATAGTCCGGCGGTATTCCATTTCGGTCCCTATTCGGGGCCAAGCTGTGACACCCCTCCAACACATCATCTTGGCATGCTGGGCATCTAGGTCGACTCGCGCCAACCAACATGTACCCATGAGTCGCACGTGTGTGACCGTTCCGCAGACGGGTCAGGACAACGCTTTCCCTTCGAAAGGTCGCGTCCGGGTGGGCAGCCTGGAATACTTATCCTCGTGAGGGTTGCCCGTGATCATCACCGCCAGCGGATTGCGGTTTGGACAGCATGGATGCCGCTTATCCGTAGGCGAGCAGCTCCCGGCCCGGCGGGAGAACACCCACCTCACAGCAAAGGCTGGCCAATGGGGTGGTCCTGAAGGCGCCTGACACCGCTCGAAGACCCTGATTTTAATTGGGGTAGAATGTTACTTCAGATGACTCTGGCCTATCAGTTTGACCAACTTAATGGAAATTTTATTTTTTTCTTCTATTTCATTATACCTTATACAAGAGACACCCCAATTTCAATGATTAACGACATGTATTCGACATTATTCTTTTCATAAATAATGGAAGATTTACGTTTTTACAATGTTCATAATAAATGTATTCCTGTCCTTGTCCTCCAAAGCATTTGGACTTTTCTTCTGGGGACGCTCACCTCAGCATAAGTTTAAAATTAGAAAAATTAGCAATTAAATGTATTTCCATCAAACATTGAATCGTTGAAAAAATGTATTTTTTTACAATTTTCATTGTAGTTACTTTTGCTCTCTTTCCACGGCTTTGAAATGGGGAGGGCATTTCGTCAGCACAGGTACGTTGCATCCCCTTTTTAGGATGAACGCCATTTATTCGCCATTATTTCTTTACAAATGAATGGACGATTTTTCTTTTTATTCTACTAGTTCGTCATGAATTATGTAATTTTCGAAAAAAGCCATACGCTCTAAGACAGAAATGAAATGAACGGCATTAAAAAATCCAAGAAATGCGTGTTGTTTTTAATTTTGGCCCAAAAAATAAATATTATTCGTTTTGTAAGCAATTAGAACTTAGCGGACAATTTAATTTAGTTTGTATTTACTGTCTAAATATTATTCTGATAACCTTTCCTTTGTTTTAAAAATGTATACCGCTGAAATTCTCTTTTCGTTCTGTCAGTAAATCATTTTACGGTAATGGTATATTTAGTTTTGAAAGGTATTATTGTTTTGATTATAAAATTTTTTAGGAAATCACAACTAAGTGTATGTCGTTTTGTTTATGTCGATCGGTACTTGGCTCTTTCCGTATGATCTCTTGCACTTCCATCATGATTTTAAATACAGTTGTAAACGCAAAAACAAAGAGGAAATTTGGTTTTTTAGAATAACAAAGAAAATTTGAGATATATTTTTCCATTTTCTTAAATTTGCAGAATTCAGCAGGAAAACGTTTAAAAGTTATTTATATATATTTAGCGTTAAGTTCAAGAGTTAAGTTCAGTTTTAATTCATCCGTTGACATTGAAAACCCGTGAAATTTAACGGACCTTAAATTCACCCCTGAATTGTATTGCTAACATCTTTTCAATTAGAATGATTTGTTTACAAAAATTAAATCATTTAAAAACCTGAAACTTAGCGATAATACACAAAATAGTAATGCCAATTTCGACATAAAATTATTTAACATAATTAAATAGTACTGAATTTTCTTCCTTCTCTCGGAAAACAATTTAATTTAAGATATATTTTTATTTATAGAAGTTTGTTTGTTTTAGTCTATTGACTTTTGTTGGATGACTGCTTATCATACGAATCGTACAAAATTCAGGTAAACAGTAATATAATGGGGTTTAAATGAAAAATATGAGAAAATTATGCGTATACAATATATTATATTTTAAAGTTGTACAATTCAACATGAATAGTTTAAACATCTGGGATGCTCGTCAATTTGCCTTTTATTGCATTTACCCATTTTTCATAATTACACAATTACTGTTTTCTGTGAACTTGCTTAAATAGAAAATCCACAAAATAAATCATAAGATAAAAAAATATAAAACGATTTATATAATATAATATGTACAGACTTTGGATTATTAACCAAAATAAAATGAGAAAAATCATTCAAAATTACAACAGAACTTGATTATATAAAAACTTATGAAAGTATGTATCAATGCAATGTGGAATCTAAAGAAAACCAAAAATAAAAACACTTTTATCACAGAACTATATACATTTAGCGTATAGATTCACTTTATTTCATATGCGTTGAATAAGTTAAAGTAGCTTCACGTCCGGTTATTGCAGTATATATGTACACTTGGCTATTTCTAAAGTGATACTCAATTGGATTTTGTCCTGTTTAAGTGTGTCTGGTAATGTTTGGCCAAATGAGCTTTCTGCCTGAAGCATTTGGCGCAGTACGAACAATGGAAGGGTTTCTCACCGGTGTGGGTTCTTATGTGGACGTTGACCGAGTATTTATCCTTAAACCCTTTGCTGCAGATGTGGCAGTAGTGGAGAGATCTTTCCCTCCGAGTGCCGGACGTCGATCCGTTTTTGGATCGTTTGGTGTACTTTTTTGTCGGTTTTGAGATGAGGGCGAATATAGGGTCGACCGGAGCTGGAACTGGTACTGGGCTGACCTGTGAGCCAAATGGGTAGGAACCGTTCGGGCAATATAGTTCTGGCGTTTCTGCTAGGTCGGATGTCAAGTCCACGAGTCCGTGGATGTTCTGAGGGTATGAGATTTCTTGATGGAGAGTCATGGCATCAGGAGCGTGTGTCGTCGAGTTCTTCATTTCAAGGAGGTTTAGCGATTCCGCATTTTCAGCTTGTGCAACGTAATCGTTGGAGAAATTGGACGGCACCACGTTCATCAGATCGTCTAAATCTCCAGTCGTGTTGGTTGTGTAACTCGAGCTTTCTTGTGTTTCCTGCTTCTGCCACGTACTTTGATCTTCTGCTCCATAAACCGAATAAGTGTAGGCAGAATTTTCCGCAGCCGACCTCGGTTCGGGGATGGCATCTTGTCTCCAATAGTTGATTTCCCCAAAAAACGTCCCTTCCACAGATTGCCACTCGTTCCCGAAGGTGCACATTTCGAGCGACAAGTGGTTGTTATTGGGTTCTTTTGGCTCCAGAACTCCAGAATCCATAAATAGATCCCATGACTGTAAATCTTGACCCAGACAATCGTCGTCTAACATCGCCAATGTCGATGTATTATATGCTGCGTATTCGCTTCTGAAACATAAAAATACATTATATTTAGTGGTCTAGAATTGAGCTGAACCTACTTCTTTCAATTAATTAATCTTGTTATGTAAAGTTTTGGAGGACTCGAAAAAGATACCATTAACTACTATTAAATTTATGTTTATTACATAGTTCTGGCGATTAAAACATCGCATAAAGTTTAAATTCCTAATTTTCCTCATAACAATTTTCTTCATTTTTCATGCAATACTTATAAAAAAAAGAAACATATGCAATTACATTAGCAAAGGTCAAATTATTTGGCAACAATCTTAAGTCGATAGTGAAGAGAGATTGCTCAATTCTACAAAGTTTCACAATGAAGATAATGATATTTGTCAAATCATCTTTCCCTGTAAATCTTAAAAATTAATAATTGAATAAATTCTAAATTTAGTCATAAAAATGAAAACGAAAATGTAACTATGTTATGGAGAAGTTCAAAGATAGCGTTTTATTTTTTAGAAGAGTAAAGAAAGGGTTAGATATTAAATCAAATTTTAAAAACATACCTCAACATATCTGTGATGGAAAATTGCAAAAATCTTCTTAATTGCAAGATAGACTAGGAATGCTTTGTAGCACTTGACTACTGGTGACTAGAAAAGAAAAGATTAGACTGAAGGGTCTCATCCCCCGGGGGGTGCTTTTATACGGGGCCGGTTGGGTTTTCTCCTACCCTTCGTCATAAAGCCCTCAAATCCCTTACAACCATTGGACAATGCCATGGAGGGGATTTTTCCCCCCTGGAGGAAAAAAGCCTGGGTTTCTCAAGGGTTCAACGGGAAGTTCCTGAACTATGTCCAGAATTTCCTCCCATCTACGGTGATTTTTTTGGGGAAATAAAATAATTTTAAAAAAGTCTCCAAATGTGCGTTTTTGAAAATGAAAAGTCATCGTAATGCAGGAGATATTTTTGCCAAACTGAAACAAATAAACACAAACAATTAAAAATAATAACAATAGATATTAAAACGCATATTTTTTAATTGAAATTAGCTATTTATTAAATTGAATTCAGGAAACTATAAGAAATTTTTATGTAAAATATTCGTTGAGATAAAATAGTCCATGCCACGAGCGGGATTCGAACCCACGACCTTCAACTAGATACGCTGCTACTCTACCACTTGAGCTATCGAGACTTCGATCCACTTGGACACCAACTCAACCCATCTCAACCCATTCAATTCGAATTTTCCCTTTTTTTTGCCCTTTTTTAAATGCCGTATAATCAGGATTCGATTCTCGGCGACAAATGAAATAGTCACGGAGAACTTTAGTGAAGATATCGTTTTACTTATTAAATCCATTATATTTACGGGTCTAATTACCCAAATTACTTCTTTCAAATTATTAATCTTTATGTAAGGTATTAGTTGGTGGTAGAGCAACGGCGTATTTAGCCGAACATCGTCGGTTCGAATCCCGCTCGTGTCATTAACTTTTTTTATCTCAACCAATACCTTACATAAAGATTAATTAATTGAAGGAAGTTATTTGGTCCACGAAATATAGTGGAACAATAAGAAATATTGAAACAAATTAGAAGAAAAATAATATTATCAACTTAAATTTAAAGTTTTAATATAGTACCATAAATACTAGTATTATCATAAAATTTCGCGATATTTTTTTAATAGTACATGTAGTAAAATCATATGAAAGGCTGTATTAAGTAAAATTAGATGTTCAAAAAGTTACAAAAATGAAAAATATTCCAGTAAAGTAGACAAATATTTTTATTCAATTATAGAAACTATTTAACCTTTGACCCTTTTAAAACCCTTCAGTAAGAAAGAAGAAACTGTGATCAAATAATTTGGCTTGATTGACCCTGAGCACATGAGGATCACCAAATTTAATTTTAAAAAGTTTTGGAAAAACGCTGGACAATGATCCGTGTACATATATCATGGTTATTGTAATTACACCAGTCAATTTTGGTTTAAGTTGAAAAAATAGGCATTTTAATGATGGATCGGCTCCGGGCAAAATATTTCGATTTCAGTAAATCGAACTATTTTCAGTAAAGAAGGGCAAAACACATTTTTGTTGAAAAACGCAATAAAAACATTCGGATTCAATTTAAGCAACCTTTGAAACTTAAAAATATGAAATTTCATATCAATAAAAATATACATATTTCGACCGAGGGATAATTTTCCCGCCGATGTCCATAGCTCAACTAAAAACATATAAATCCACTGAATCGGATCCAGATAATTTGTTGGATATTGGTAGGTTTAGGGGAGCCTGACAGTTATAGTTCATATGTCCCAATCCGTTTTAGTAATATTTTGTAGCGGTAAATTTCATTTTCGATTTCCGTCCAAGTTCAGTTTCTGTCTTCATAAATACGCAAGGACGCAAAATGCGAAAGCAGAATGGGCTGTGATCACATAGATTTGTCATTGAGACGTATATGGGTCTGATGTTTTTATTACAAAGATGTCTTTGAGGTGAGGAATAAGATTTACGTCGGTTCACCCATATGTGCGATTGTGGGAGGAAATTGAAGAGACGTTAAGAGAACTGAATGCTGTGTAGAGAGCGGCCAGGACAATTGGTCACGATGGAGCCTTACTACATGTGTTTACAGTTTTTTTTTGCAATGCCGGTAAGAAATCTACTTCCAAGACATTCAAAGAATTCTTTAAATTTGGTGGGAGTTTAATAACTCCCACCAAATTTAAAGAATTCTTTGAATGTCTTGGAAGTAGATTTCTTAC